GGCTGAACAGAGGCTACAGTTAAGGATTGGCAACCGATCATTCCTCCTCGGCCGGGATACGAACCCAGGCCAAAGTGCTCGCGAAGTACCGAGGCGAGTGTTTTACCACTCCGCCACAGGGACATCTAATAGAATGCACTAGGAAGTAATGTGGTAGAGGGAGGCTCCATACACAGTTGCAAGTGCAGATATGATAGAGCCCAATAGGCTCAGGAACTTGTACACCATTTGATTGAGAGTTGAGAGGCGGGACCAAAGAGCCGAAGCTCAACCTCCACTGGCACAACTAGGTGAGAATAGCTAGGTGAATACACACACGCCCACACACACGTGAATTGATAAAGGTAGTATTCACGAGCGAGAGAACAAAAGAGGACTTGTTACCAAGGAAGAGCAGACTAGCAAATGTACAGAAGTTCGAAAAAGTATTCCTGCAGAGGAATATGACAAGGGATGAGAGAATGAGGGCAGCAGCCGCGAGGAGGGAGCGCAGGAAGAAAGAAAGTAATCAGGGAGCCACAACTCTGAGCTCTATAATCCCAGAGGGGGAATGGGGAATCCTCCACAAGCAGCTCAACAGACATAGTGAGAGAAGCACCACCTTCACCCCTCCACCCTATGGATGTCCTACTGGCCCCATCCCCTGGTGTCCAAAGTGCCCACCTCAGCTTCTTGCTTCTTGGGCTGCTTCTTGGGGATGCGTGTGTGTGTGCTTGTGTTAGAGAGAAATATATGAAGTAGAAATAATAGAGGAAAAATAAATTGGTTAGAAAGGAAATAAAAATTGGTTATAAATACATTCTACAGATAATTTTTCTTTTAGTCAACCTCGAACAAATTTGACATTTGGAGAAATCCTCTTCCAATTAAACCAAGATGGAAGAGCACTGGTTAAAGGGATAGAAACCCTAAATAAGAAAATAATCAACAGGGAATATGCTGTCATATTTAACGAAACATGTCTAAATGCAAACCTGCTGCCAGTATACACCAATAAATATCTCTATATTTATCTATCTCTATGTCTAGATATCTAAATCTAGCTATCTTTATCTATGTCTATTTCTAGGTATTTATAATTATGTTTATCTCTGTCTGTTTCTCTCTATACGTGTGCTAACAGATACCTTTGTGTTATCTGAGAGATACCTGTGTATTAACAAAAATATATCTATGTACAAATAGAAAAATGCCTATGTTTTAACAAAGAAATCTGTGTATTAAGAGAGATATGTGTGTGGGTTAATAAAAATATACATGTGTGATAACAAAGAAATTTGTTAACAGATACCTGTATTTTACCTGATGATACATGTGTCTTAAGAGAGATGCATGTGTTTTATATATATATCTGTATGGTAACAAAGATATAAATGTGTATTAACAGCGATAACTATGCGTTAACATGGATATCTCTCTGTAAACACACACATATCTGTTGTGTTAACATTATATATATATATATATATATATATATATATATATATATATATATATATATATATATATATATATATACATCCTCCCCCAACAAAAATCCTTCCAGTGCTAAGTCAACTCTCGTACCAGGAACGATTGAGGGCCACAGGGCTTGCAACACTGCAAACCAGACATGACAGGGCGGATCTCATTGAAACTCATAAAATACTGAACAATTTGGAGGATGTTAATTCGGACAATTTCTTCCAAAGGTCAGATGTGACACAAACAAGGAAGCTCGTGTTGTTGGTTTCAAGCTCAGCAAGCCGCAGTGTAGGACTAAGAATGGCAGATGCTTTTTCACCCACAGGGTTATGAACCCATGGAACCGCCTACCCGCCGAAGCCGTAAATGCCAAAAAAATGTTAAGTTTTACAATCCAACTGGAAAAGATCGTCACGGGTAAATTATTCTTGTCCACGTCGAGGTGTCTAAAGTGTTATTGGCCCTCAGGTAAATTCACATAAATATATGTATTAGCAGATGTATGTTAGCAAGGCGATACCTGTGTGTAAACAATGAAATACAAATGTATTTGTAAAAAAGATTTACAAAATATGTAAATGACATATTCGCATTGACTGGGAGATAACTTTGAATTGACTTAGATAATTGAGTGTTAACATTTACAGGTGAGATAACAGAGATACCCGAGTGTTAACATAGATATCTGAGAGTTAATAGATACATGCGTGTTAACTGATATATATATATATATTATATATGCGTATTAACAGAGATACACGTGTCTTAACAGAGAGAAGTGTGTATCAACAGCGGGATACCTGTGTGTTACCAGAGAGAGCCTCGTGTATTGACATGTGTCCTGTGTGCTAACAGATATGTACATGTGTGTACTTAACAAGATACCTGTGTACTTAACAAGATACCTGTGTACTTAACAAGATACCTGTGTACTTAACAAGATACCTGTGTACTTAACAAGATACCTGTGTACTTAACAAGATACCTGAGTACTTAACATGATACCTGTGTACTTAACACGATACCTGTGTACTTAACACGATACCTGTGTATTTAACACGATACCTGTGTACTTAACAGAGTGATACCTATTCGTTAACAGAGATATATACTTATATGTTAACAGATAGATACCTGTGTTAACAGAAAGCTGTTTTAACAGAAAGATACACCTATGTTGTCATAAAAATGCATGTGTACTAGAAAAAAATATGTTAAAATATATAAAGGTGTGTTAAAAATTGTATGCATGTCTGTCTGTTAACAGAGATACCTGTATGTTAACAGAGAGATGCATGTGTTTTAACAGATATACCTGTTTAGTTAATAATGATATACCTTTGTGTTGATCGACCATTGCTAGTCTCTTAACTGAAAGATACATGTGAGTTAACATCGAGATACTTGTGTTGGCAGATAAATAGATTTGTGTTAACAATGAGATATGTGTGTGTGTGTGTGTGTGTGTGTGTGTGCGTGTGTGTGTGTGTGTGTGTGTGTGTGTGTGTGTGTGTGTGTGTGTGTGTGTTAACTGAAAGATACTTTGTGTGTTAAAAGGAAGATACCTATATGTGTTAACAGATACTGAATGTTAATAAATGCATGTACGTTAACAATGAGATATGTGCTAAGTTCTAACTTAACCTGTCTGTTAAGAGTTTGAATCATACTAAAAGACACCTGTCTATTAACAGAGGGATACCTATCTGTTAACAGAGGGATACCTATCTGTTAACAGAGGGATACCTATCTGTTAACAGAGGGATACCTATCTGTTAACAGAGGGATACCTATCTGTTAACAGAGGGATACCTATCTGTTAACAGAGGGATACCTATCTGTTAACAGAGGGATACCCGTTTGTTAACAGAGGGATACCTGTGAGATATCTGTGTGTTAAGAGAGCGAGAGAGAGAGAGAACTGCGTATTACTCACACACGGGTAACAGAGAGTTACAATTGTCTTAACAAAGAAGTACAGGTCAGTTAACATCATGTTATATGTGTGTGTGTTAACATAGCCTAACCTAACCTTATATCTAATACATTTGTAGTTACGTATCACATGTAAAGTAGCACCGACCTCGCTGGGGTCTACTTTTAACACTTTTTAGAAAGTCGCAAAATATAGCAGAAAAATACGCACTTCAAACATTTTATTTCAGCTTATTCAGAATAAGCTTAAATTAACAATTAATTACCTTTTAGTTTAGTGCATCAGTGGTCAAGCTGCTTGCTTAACCGTATACAAAAAACACTTTTTTGCAAATCTGCAATAAAAAATAATTCTCTGTAAGCTTATATAACCAACGTAATGTTTAGACAATAAAGGCGACATTGTCAATTGGTAATTACAAGTTCAAGCGATTGCATATTGAAACGCATAATTTTGCAACGAGGAAATTATGAATTAAATAAACTGCACAACATTTCTCTCATTCTCAATATGCAATTTTTGCATCGAGAAAAAACTTATAAATCAATGCCAACCAGCAAGGCACTTTTAATTTTGATTGTTGTCGCCGGAGGGGACTAGTTTATTGTGCAACCCATACTCATCCTGTGAGCGGTAGCGCAAAAAAGCATTACAGAGGGCACAAAAGGTCTTTGTCAGACCTCATCTTTGTCGCAGGGTCCGGTGCCGTGAAAAGTTCCAATATTGCGGCAAGTTCCATTGCGGTTGCAAATTCTTGTGCGGTTGCATGTTCCAATGATCTTGCAAGTTCCATAGTTGTTCATAGAATAAACAAATATTTATTTGTTATTTATTCATGTGTTACTCACAGCTATTTATTTGTTGGCATTTGAGTTGTTCCAGCATAAGTGCCAGAGCAAGTACTGTCTCAAGTGTCAACATAAGTACCAGTTCAAGTGTTTGTGATTGAACAAGTTCCAGTGTGAACATCAATGTCAGTGTGAGCACAAGTGCCAGCAGAAATGTCAGTGCTAGTACAAGTGCCGGCACAGGTAAAAGTTCAAATGCCAGCACAAGCTCAAGCAGAAATGCCAGAACAAGTGTCACTCAAATTTTCAGAACCAACAAAAGTAACAATATTTGCCATTGCAATATCCAGCATAAGTGTCAGCGCAGTGCCGGTGTCAGCGCAGTGCCGGTGTCAGCGCAGTGCCGGTGTCAGCGCAGTGCCGGTGTCAGCGCAGTGCCGGTGTCAGCGCAGTGCCGGTGTCAGCGCAAATCAATGGGTATCAGTTGGATAAAATTAGATATAGGAAAGACCTGGGTAAATACTGGTTCGGATGAGGCGTTGTTGATTGGTGGAACAGGTTGCCGCGTGGCAGGGTAGAGGTGGGATCCCTTGATTGTTTCAAGCGTGGGTTGGACATGTGTATGTGTGAGATTGGGTGGATGTAGATAGGACCTGCCTCGTGTGGGTCCAATAGGCCTTCTGCAGTTACCTTCATTCTTATGTTCCTAAGTGCTAGCGTCAGTGTCATCACACTTGCCAGTGAAAACACATGTGCCAGTTCCGGCACAAGTGCCAGTGCCAGCACAAGTGCCAGTGCCAGCACAAGTGCCAATGTCAGCACAAGTGCCAGTGACAGTGCCAGCACAAGTGCCAGTGTCAGCACAAGTGCCAGTGCCAGCACAAGTGCCAGTGTCAGCACAAGTGCCAGTGTCAGCACAAGTGCCAGTGCCAGCACAAGTGCCAGTGTCAGCACAAGTGCCAGTGTCAGCACAAGTGCCAGTGCCAGCACAAGTGCCAGTGTCAGCACAAGTGCCAGTGCCAGCACAAGTGCCAGTGTCAGCACAAGTGCCAGTACCAGCACAAGTGCCAGTGTCAGCACAAGTGCCAGTGTCAGCACAAGTGCCAGTGCCAGCACAAGTGCCAGTGTCAGCACAAGTGCCAGTGTCAACACAAGTGCCAGCACAAGTGCCAGTGCCAGCACAAGTGCTAGTACCAGCACAAGTGCCAGTGCCAGCACAAGTGCCAGTGCCAGCACAAGTGCCAGTGCCAGTGCCAGCACAAGTGCCAGTGCCAGCACAAGTGCCAGTGCCAGTGCCAGCACAAGTGCCAGTGCCAGCACAAGTGCCAGTGCCAGCACAAGTGCCAGTGCCAGCACAAGTGCTAGTACCAGCACAAGTGCCAGTGCCAGCACAAGTGCCAGTGCCAGCACAAGTGCCAGTGCCAGCACAAGTGCCAGGGCCAGCACAAGTGCCAGTGCCAGCACAAGTGCCAGTGCCATCACAAGTGCCAGTGCCAGCACAAGTGCCAGTGCCAGTGCCAGCACAAGTGCCAGCACAAGTGCCAGTGCCAGCACAAGTGCCAGCACAAGTGCCAGTGCCAGCACAAGTGCCAGCACAAGTGCCAGTGCCAGCACAAGTGCCAGTGCCAGCACAAGTGCTAGTACCAGCACAAGTGCTAGTACCAGCACAAGTGCCAGTACCAGCACAAGTGCCAGTGCCAGCACAAGTGCCAGTGCCAGCACAAGTGCTAGTACCAGCACAAGTGCCAGTACCAGCACAAGTGCCAGTACCAGCACAAGTGCCAGTGCCAGCACAAGTGCCAGCACAATTGCCAGCACAAGTGCCAGTGCCAGCACAAGTGCCAGTGCCAGCACAAGTGCCAGCACAAGTGCCAGTGCCAGCACAAGTGCCAGTGCCAGCACAAGTGCCGTTGCAGCGGACCTTCACAGGAGTGACAAGTGTGTTCACCTCGACGCTGTTGCTCGTTACCATGCAAATGTGCCTGAGAGTCCCTCTGCCAGCTTACATCTGGAGGCGCAGAATACGCTTTACACTGCACTATATTTGTAGATTTAGATCCTAAAATCCCACTTCCCTGTGATTCTCTGCTTGCAGTGAAATGCTGGATAGATTTCCAATTTCCCGATGTTATAAAGTTTGTTACTCTTGATCCCGAGGGAGCAGGTGAACACCGGCCGTCCTAGTGGCCGTCTGCTGGAAACACAGCAGCAGCATGATGTGGAGAACAATGGAATTTAGTATAAAAGTGGGGAATCAGAGGTGAGTTACACCGCGTATCCTGCTATACAGGAACCGGGTTGAGTGGCATGATAGCGAGATGGAGATGGGATTCTTAGTGGCACAACACTAGGATATGCTTAGTAACATATCCTGGTGTCGTGGACATACCATGACACCAGGATATGTCGTGGACGAATCGTGGAGAACAACTCGATCATATGTCCACACTGTCAACATGAATGTGTTGGTATATCTGGTTGTTTGTTTGTCTGTCCACAGTTGGAGGCGAGATGCGATGGAATTAACCTCACCCAAATTGATAAACTGAATGGTCTGGGGTCCGGGATGAACATAGGCTAGTTGGGGTTGCCAGTATTCAAAATAGAACAGCGTGCCAGGGTCACATTCAGACCCCCACGACGATTTTCGGCACTGTCCGCTAATTCACTGTCAAAAATATTTTGAAAATAATACTTTTTTATAGAATATACACCATTATTATTATCTCGGGAAAATTAACATAACTTTCTTGCTATTTAAACTAAGTTCATAGTCCCATAACACACGTAAATTATATTTTTAAGTTTACCTCCCCCTCTCATAGAAAACTGAAGGCCAACCCCCAAAATTATAAAATATTAAAATGACCCATAATTAGAGTTACTCTCTGTTCAGGTTTAATTGATCAATTAACACGTAATTAATGTGTGTGTAGTTAAACAGAGCGACGCCATTTCAAGGGCTGGCCGACGGCGCCTGTCTGCTACATCACACTCCATAACAATCAATTAGGATATTAAATTTGTCTTGTATCACTTCCTATAATTTATATAACAAACGGAGTTAATTCTTAACAGAATTGGAATTGAATAAAAGAATTGCTGCAGTTAATTCTTAAAAGAATTAATTTAATTCGAATTGTTAGAGTGATAGAGCCTTAAACCCTAATATACTATAGTTATCTCCTTGACTCCGGAGGTGTAGAGAGGCTCTGACACCATTATATCGTAACAGAGATCAAGATCACAATCTTGATCACTATCTTGATCCATTATCAACTCAATCGACTTGATAATGGTCCAGGACGGACAGAAACATCGTCGTCTCTTCAATTTCTAGTGTGTGGTTTGGTCAACATATTTCAGCCACGTTATTGGACTCTTTATCTGCATCAAGATCACTACTAAGTGGAGAAGTTGTCATTACTCAACCTAAATACTCTTCTGCTGCCGTTCAAACTTCACGACTTGTAAATAAAGTCGTGTCCGCCTTCAACCAGAGATAAGTGATAACCCATACCCTTAACCATTGATAACCCATACCCTTAACCATTGATAACCCATACCCTTAACCATTGATAACCCATACCCTTAACCATTGATAACCCATACCCTTAACCATTGATAACCCATACCCTTAACCATTGATAACCCATACCCTTAACCATTGATAACCCATACCCTTAACCATTGATAACCCATACCCTAAACCAGTGATAACCCATACCCTTAACCATTGATAACCCATACCCTAAACCAGTGATAACCCATACCCTTAACCATTGATAACCCATACCCTAAACCAGTGATAACCCATACCCTTAACCATTGATAACCCATACCCTAAACCAGTGATAACCCATACCCTTAACCATTGATAACCCATACCCTAAACCAGTGATAACCCATACCCTTAACCATTTATATTACGGTTAATGTTGAGAGATATGTTGGTGGGGAACACAATGGGTCAGATGAGACCAACACCGTGGGAGCCGGTCGGCCGAGCGGACAGCACGCTGGGCTTGTGATCCTGTGGTCCCGGGTTCGATCCCGGGCGCCGGAGAGAAACAATGGGCAGAGTTTCTTTCACCCTATGCCCCTGATACCTAGCAGTAAAATAGGTACCTGGGTGTTAGTCAGCTGTCACGGGCTGCTTCCTGGGGCTGGTGGCCTGGTCGAGGACCGGGCCGCGGGGACACTAAAGCCCCGAAATCATCTCAAAATAACCTCAAGATTACCATTATCTCACTTAAGATCATACCATCATTATTCACAAATATTTATATGAGATAATTTGGTGAAATAAAATGTAAATCTAATGAACAAATCCACAAGGCCCGTGACGAGGATTCGAACTTGCGTCCGGGAGCATCCCAGACGCTGCCTTAATCGACTGAGCTACGACACGGTAAAAGAGGACCGTGCGTCTAAATCTAAATTCAATCTAATAGTGACTTTAAAGGCATGAAGGTGTTGATCCAACAAGTTGTTCTATTGCTCCCATATTCTTTCCATCATTCACCTCACCCCACAAAAGCTCACCATGTGTATTTAATACACACAGAAATCACATTAGCGTACGGGCTCACCATAGCCCGTGCTACTTGCCCCGCTCCTGTGCCAGGTAAATTACGGGCTCACCATAGCCCGTGCTATTTCCCCCGCTCCTGTGCCAGGTAAGCTACGGGCTCACCATAGCCCGTGCTACTTGGACATTTTTGTTCCAAGTAGCGAATCTTAAACAACATTACAATAGCGCCTCGTACCGCTCTTGTGCCAGGTAAGTCCACTACGGGCTCACCATAGCCCGAGCTACTTGTCCCTCTCCTGTGCCAGGTAAGCTACGGGCTCACCATAGCCCGGGCTACTTGTCCCGCTCCTGTGCCAGGTAAGCTACGGGCTCACCATAGCCCGGGCTACTTGTCCCGCTCCTGTGCCAGGTAAGCTACGGGCTCACCATAGCCCGTGCTACTTGTCCCGCTCCTGTGCCAGGTAAGCTACGGGCTCACCATAGCCCGTGCTACTTGTCCCGCTCCTGTGCCAGGTAAGCTACGGGCTCACCATAGCCCGTGCTACTTGTCCCGCTCCTGTGCCAGGTAAGCTACGGGCTCACCATAGCCCGGGCTACTTGTCCCGCTCCTGTGCCAGGTAAGCTACGGGCTCACCATAGCCCGTGCTACTTGTCCCGCTCCTGTGCCAGGTAAGCTACGGGCTCACCATAGCCCGTGCTACTTGGAACTTGTTCCGAGTAGCTGAATCTATAACAACAACAACAACAACAACACAATAGCGTAATACATCAAAGGCACAAATCCACAAGAGCCGCGATGAGGGGTTCGAACTTACGTCCGGGATTATCCACGTCGTGGCGCAATCGACTAAGACGCGTCTGAGATCATCCCCGACGGAAGTTCGAACCCTCAACACGGCCCTTGTGGATTTGTTCATGCGTATTTAATCCGAAATTAAACCTCATGTATTAATTTTTTACCTGTAGATGTTCCAGAGAGGAGGGAAACGTCGAAGAAGATATATTTTAAGTTTTTCGTTTCTAAAGAAACTAGATTCTTTACCGTGAGTTTTGGTAACTTGATTGTTCTTCTTAATACTGATACTAAGAAGTTAGCAGCATATATAAAGCTTACACTATAAGATCAACAACGCCAGAAATGCGGTCACCTTTAGCCAAATATAATAATTTATATAGTAGGTGTCCATCAGTCTCAGGAGACTATGGAGTTGCGTTTTGGTTATCGGATGGAGTGGCCACAATATATGGATACAACAGAAATAATATTCAATAGCCACTACTGCTGTAAAACTGAATATAAATGTATTATTTACACTGACAGTAGTGACAACAGACAACGGACACCTCCCTGACCTTAACATTCCACATCAAACACGTAACTTAAATATAACTGAGGACTAATTAGTAAAAACAAGACTAGTCCATTGTAACAAGAAACCTTTTCGTCTGCGTCTCGCTTCATGCAGGTCGGCGTTCAATCCCCGAGTGTCCATGTGGTTGAGAACCATTCCTTTCCCCCCCCCCCGTCCCATCCCAAATCCTTATCCTGACCCCCTTCCAAGTGCAATATAGTCTTAACGACTTGGTGTTTTTTCCTGATACATCCCTTCCCTTCTCCGTGTAAACGGACAGCACGTTCACTTGATTTGCCACAACGTATAAAATACGAACGACAAACGTACGAACCCAAGCAACCCACCTAACGTAACATTCGTACGCTTAGAATTCAATTTCGTTCTTTACTATGCGTCCCAAACCCATCCCGTGGGAGGTGGCGGGAAGGGTTACAGTGGCACACACGCATAGAAAACGTGAATAGTTGTGAACGGCTACTTCTCTTAGTACTCTGAAATTTGTACGTTGCAGACCGTAACGTACAAAAGCAGACGAACATTTGTTACCAAAGACAGAACTACGGACCAATAATGTTTTAAAACACCATTCCCGACAATAATCAAACAACCTTCCTGGGAACATCAACAAAATCTCGTAGACTTGAAGCAAAGTAAATTTTACACCAGTTACTCCATCTATCATCATTCTATTATACAGGAAGAACCGCACGTCTATGGGTCATCCAATAAGGTTAGCAGACGTCTAGATGTTACGTTGACCAAACCACACACTAGAAAGTGAAGGGACGACGACGTTTCGTAGTCGATCTTGAGAATGGTCCAGGACGGACCGAAACGTCGTCGTCCCTTCACTTTCTAGTGTGTGGTTTGGTCAACATATTTCAGCCACGTTATTGTGACTCCTCGTCTGCGTCTAGATGTTACCACTGCTAGGCTCAGGCTCGGCTACATGTACCTCTGGGAGTTTGTAACATCTGCTGATGTCTGTATGACTATACGTATGACTAAATGTAAACTCTGTCATCAGGACTATTCGCATACTTTGCGTCATTATTAAATTTAATTCATTGTGTCGGGGGACAGAAAGCCAGGGTGTATTCATACACGTTTTGACTTTTATCGAAAATTTTCTTGTCACATAACTGTTGCGCAACAGAAACATGCAAGTTGGATTTTATAAGGCATTTTCAAAACGTCCAAAAAATATGGGTGCATCAATGCCCAAGCGATTAATGACCAATAAAAATGTGTTTTTAATGAATTCATGCTCTCATTTAATGCTTTATTGACCAGTCATCTTTAGGAGTCTTGGAGCCAGCGGTTAACACATCTCAAGGAGGCCCTTGGCGTCCAGACAAAATATCCAAATTTAGGATTTCTTGGCGACTAGGTAGACAGTGATCTTAGGATGTCTTAGTGCCGAGATGGGTGGCGATCTCTGAGGGCGTGGAGAGGTAGTGGTTGAAGCACTTGGCAGCCTGTCGGTCACAGTCACACACGTGGTTCACGCAGAAGGACTCTGACCGAACTGTTGATGAACACAACCATATTAGTTCTCCCGCAATAATCAGGTTGTCAGAGGGATGCAAACATTCATTTGTCGAGTAAGTAATTAGGTTACTAGGCATCCAACCCACACGTCTGAAAATAAAGGAAGTGACGGCACTTGTCTTCGTCCGGACCATTGCCTAGTCAGGTTAAGAGAGTGGGAATGGGACTATTAGGAGAAAGCTATATATAGCTAAATCTATAAAGGTATAGCTATAGCTATATAGCCATTACGACTACATAGCACTTAGAGTGTGGGAGAGAAATTATCAGGTAAAAATGAAGTGAAAGGAAAGATAAGAAAATCAGAGACAATAAGGATACAGTAAACTGCAGAGAGCCCAGTGGTGAAGAGAAAGGTGAAATACAGAAAAGAGATAGCAACAGAAGAGAGAGAAAAAGCTATACTAGAGCGGGCTAAAGCTTAAGTCAGATCACGTCTGATAAGTTTAGAGCATTTAACTGTGCATTGAAAAGCAAGAATCAACAGTAACAAAGCAAGCATTAAGTTTTATGTTGCACTTGTTGGAATTGAGAGCCAATTCGATAAGACTTCTTTGGACGGAAAAGGCTGAAAATATTATTTTAGAAAGCACTCTAAAGAATGATTAGTCCCAAAAATGACAGAATTAGAAAATCGAAGATTTTTCAAGAAAGTAATGGGAGAACATTAATTTGTCAACGGGATATGATGACATTGAATTGTCAATTAAGATAATTTACTTATGAAGAATAGACGTTTATATACTATATTTTACCAAGGCAAATACTGTAAGCATAGCTAATTATATTGTTTTTTGAACTATACAAGCAAATTCTTTCGTTTATAATATTTGTTAGTATTATATATCTACAACTTTTGTTATCAGAGGAGGACGGTACTTGCAATACTGAATAGTACTTACAGTACTATTCAGCACCAACTTTCCAACTCAAATTATTCGTGCTGCAACTATTTGTACTGATGCATCATCAATGTAACTTGTACATACTGATGCATCAGCAATGTAACTTGTACATTACCTGCAACAGGTAATGTTTCAACATATACAAACACTGTGTGAATGGCGTGAGGCGAGACTCACCACACACGGTCTCCTGCTCCAGCAGCGTCCAGGCGTACATCCGCCCGTAGGGTTTATCCCAGACGTCTGGACACTGGCGGACGAGGCGGCCGTAGCACTTGTCGTGGTCCAGGCAACACCGGTCAAGATTGTCAACGGGAGCGCTCCGTCCTCCCTTGCCGCACCTGTATAAATACACCTGTTTGTACGCTTTTCATTGTTTTTGTGTGTGTGAAAACTCAATGACATCGAGTTGAGATTCAAACTCACTCCCAGAAGGCCTCTCAAAGTTGTACATGTGAATGCGAAGCGGATACACACACAACTGCGCTTGAATGTGGTGCCTAATCCATCAGGATCAATGAACGATCTATCAAGAGCGACTAGAACCCTACCCTTGATTGACACGAGGAAGATACAGCGAGAATCGAACAGATTGTTGGACACCCTCAGACTCTTCAGTGGGGTTGGGAAGCACCTGTCCAGAACAGACCTAAGAGAAATAAACATTTTGGTGGACTGGAAATATTATAACAGACTAATCCAAGGAAGGTTCGTAGAGCACTATAGAAGAAGGATGATGTATCCTGCTTCTAAAGTGTATATGGCAGAATGCTAAAGTGGATGAGAAGCACCTCTCAGGAAGGACACATTGAGTTACGGGATTGATATCCAACCCAGAACTGATTATGAAGGATGACGTTTCGGTTCGTCCTGGAGACCATTATCATGTCGTGTGATGAGATAATAGTCCGGGACAACCGATACGTCGCCGTTCTTCATTTGCTGATGAAAATAAATGACTGTTGATTGTAGGTGAGATTGGACTAACATCTGAAGAAGGATTTAACTGGTAATTACGTCTCAAGTACGGATATGGAGAAGCCGTCTCCAGCTGGGTGTGTTATGAGACAGTGTGTATAACCCTCGTAGAGTCACGTGTGTTATGGTACAGAGGAAAGAGTGAGGTGACCTTCAGTTGCAAGTGCTGAAAGTCAGTGGTGTAACGACTTCAAAACTCAGTGTTATAGTTAACGACCCGTGAGACTCACTGGGGAGTGATATGTCAAGAGCAAGTGATTACCAGTGTATCAGTGACGTGTAAAGTAGGAAACAGAACTGTTGTCAAGTTCTTTCCTTAGAGTTGTTGGGTTGTAAGTGGGGTGACCTTCACGTGAGGTCACAGTATTGGGGTCGAGGTGTGTGTGTAGACCCATGGGGACATTGTGGGTCCAAGGAAAGGGAAGAAGTTATCAGGAGAACGCGCCAAGCCATTGCGACTATATAGCACTTGGAAGGGTTCAGGATAAGGATTTGGGATGGGACAGAGGAAACGAATGGTGCCCAACCACTTGGACGGTCGGGAATTTTGTGGGTCCAAGCGCGCGAACCCAGTGAGTGGCGCACAAATAGTCATACATACACTGTGTATGTTGACCAGACCACACACTAGAAAGTGAAGGAACGACGACGACGTTTCAGTCCGTCCAGGATCATTCTCAAGTCGATCTTGACAATGGTCCAGAACGGACCGAAACGTCGTCGTCCCTTCACTTTCTAGTCTGTGGTCTGGTCAACATATTTCAGCCACGTTATTGTGACTCATCATCTACACTGTGTATGTGTGGTTATGCCAAGCAAATCGGTAGAGCTCTAACGGTCCCGTCGATGTGAGACAAGGCTAAAATCCTGCATGTTGTCAGCAATGAACTCCTCTGGTGTGAAAAACAGAGGGATAATCATCAGTGCGAGTAAACGCGGTGCGAAGGCCCATTAGTTGAGCCTTCAGATTGCTTTAGCAGTTGAGGGACTAACGACCCAATGACGGGAGGTACCTGTATGCTCCGTTGGAGAGGGTTGCCCAGACCCATGTGTCCAGCGTGTCCACCAGCGGGCTCTTGCAGGTCCACCCGTCACGTCCTGACACACAGCTCTTCTCTCTACCTGAGATACAGCAGCACCTCGGCGATTTCTCTCGCCCGTGGATTTGTGGGGATTTTCTGCAAAGGTGACCTCTTGTAGTGTGACCACTACCAGTGATGGTGCTCTTGCAGTGTGACCACTACCAGTGATGGTGCTCTTGCAGTGTGACCACTACCAGTGATGGTGCTCTTGTAGTGTGACCACTACCAGTGATGGTGCTCTTGTAGTGTGACCACTACCAGTGATGGTGCTCTTGCAGTGTGACCACTACCAGTGATGGTGCTCTTGCGTGCCATTGTAGAGTGTTGCAGGAAGAACAACAATAAAAACAAAAAAGTAACCAAGTCCTCCCCCCCTGTCCCCACACCATACATGAAGGTAGACAATACTACCATACATGAATCATACCGTGTCCTACCCCCTCTACAAGCACCGTGTCCTACCCCCTCTACAAGCCGCCGTGTCCTACCCCTCTACAAGCCGCCGTGTCCTACCCCCTCTACAAGCCGCCGTGTCCTACCCCTCTACAAGCCGCCGTGTCCTACCCCCTCTACAAGCCGCCGTGTCCTACCCCTCTACAAGCCGCCGTGTCCTACCCCCTCTACAAGCCGCCGTGTCCTACCCCTCTACAAGCCGCCGTGTCCTACCCCCTCTACAAGCCGCCGTGTCCTACCCCTCTACAAGCCGCCGTGTCCTACCCCCTCTACAAGCCGCCGTGTCCTACCCCTCTACAAGCCGCCGTGTCCTACCCCCTCTACAAGCCGCCGTGTCCTACCCCTCTACAAGCCGCCGTGTCCTACCCCTCTACAAGCCGCCGTGTCCTACCCCCTCTACAAGCGCCGTGTCCTACCCCTCTACAAGCCGCCGTGTCCTACCCCCTCTACAAGCCGCCGTGTCCTACCCCTCTACAAGCCGCCGTGTCCTACCCCCTCTACAAGCCGCCGTGTCCTACCCCTCTACAAGCCGCCGTGTCCTACCCATCTACAAGCCGCCGTGTCCTACCCATCTACAAGCCGCCGTGTCCTACCCATTTACAAGCCGCCGTGTCCTACCCATCTACAAGCCGCCGTGTCCTACCCATCTACAAGCCGCCGTGTCCTACCCATCTACAAGCCGCCGTGTCCTACCCATCTACAAGCCGCCGTGTCCTACCCATCTACAAGCCGCCGTGTCCTACCCCTCTACAAGCGCCGTGTCCTACACCCTCTACAAGCGCCGTGTCCTACCCCTATACAAGCGCCGTGTCCTACCCCTCTACAAGCGCCGTGTCCTACCCTCTACAAGCCGCCGTGTCCTACCCTCTACAAGCCGCCGTGTCCTACCCTCTACAAGCCGCCGTGTCCTACTCTTTACAAGCACCGTGTCCTACCCTCTACAAGCACCGTGTCCTACCCTCTACAAGCACCGTGTCCTACTCTCTACAAGCACCGTGTCCTACTCTCTACAAGCACCGTGTCCTACTCTCTACAAGCACCGTGTCCTACTCTCTACAAGCACCGTGTCCTACTCTCTACAAGCACCGTGTCCTACTCTCTACAAGCACCGTGTCCTACTCTCTACAAGCACCGTGTCCTACCCTCTACAAGCACCGTGTCCTACCCTCTACAAGCGCCGTGTCCTACCCTCTACAAGCGCCGTGTCCTACCCTCTACAAGCGCCGTGTCCTACCCTCTACAAGCGCCGTGTCCTACCCCTCTACAAGCGCCGTGTCCTACCCCTCTACAAGCGCCGTGTCCTACCCCTCTACAAGCGCCGTGTCCTACCCCTCTACAAGCGCCGTGTCCTACCCCTCTACAAGCGCCGTGTCCTACCCCTCTACAAGCGCCGTGTCCTACCCCTCTACAAGCGCCGTGTTCTACCCCTCTACAAGCATCGTGTCCTACCCTCTACAAGCATCGTGTCCTACCCTCTACAAGCACCGTGTCCTACCCTCTACAAGCACCGTGTCCTACCCTCTACAAGCACCGTGTCCTACCCTCTACAAGCACCGTGTCCTACCCTCTACAAGCACCGTGTCCTACCCTCTACAAGCACCGTGTCCCACGTTCTACAAGCACCGTGTCCTACCCTCTACAAGCACCGTGTCCTACCCTCTACAAGCACCATGTCCTACCCCTCTACAAGCACCGTGTCCTACCCTCTACAAGCACCGTGTCCTACCCTCTACAAGCACCGTGTCCCACGTTCTACAAGCACCGTGCCCTACCCTCTACAAGCACCATGTCCTACCCCTCTACAAGCACCGTGTCCTACCCTCTACAAACACCGTGTCCTACCCCTCTACAAGCACCGTGTCCTACCCCTCTACAAGCACCGTGTCCTACCCTCTACAAGCACCGTGTCCTACCCTCTACAAGCACCGTGTCCTACCCTCTACAAGCACCGTGTCCTACCCTCTACAAGCACCGTGTCCTACCCTCTACAAGCACCGTGTCCTACCCTCTACAAGCACCGTGTCCTACCCCTCTACAAGCGCCGTGTCCCACCCTCTACAAGCACCGTGTCCTACCCTTTACTAGCACCGTGTCCTACCCTCTACAAGCACCGTGTCCTACCCTCTACAAGCACCATGTCCTACCCCTCTACAAGCACCGTGTCCTACCCTCTACAAGCACCGTGTCCTACCCCTCTACAAGCACCGTGTCCTACCCCTCTACAAGCACCGTGTCCTACCCCTCTACAAGCACCGTGTCCTACCCCTCTACAAGCACCGTGTCCTACCCCTCTACAAGCACCGTGTCCTACCCCTCTACAAACACCGTGTCCTACCCTCTACAAGCCGCCGTGGCCTGCCATCCCCTTCAACTACTCAGAGCGAAGCCTCCGGGCACAGGTACTGTACTTTTCATTACATATTAATGCAGTCTGCGGAACCACTAAGGCCGCGATGAGATTTAGGGATTTGCTATTTGCTAGATTTCGCCCGAGTCCCCCGTGGGGACACTGGCAGAGGTGATCCCTCCATAACAAAGGCGGGGGACGGATTCCCGGATACAGGATACATAGTTAATGTCTATTCAGGTGAGCACGTTTTCATCTTATCGTAAATTACTGTTTCTGCTGAGGTTAGCGCGCTCTTCTTGGACGGTATATTGCGAAAAGCGACAAGATGATCAATATAAGAAAATCTGTGCTATCATTGCAACATGTGAAGCGTTGGAGGTGACTGCCTGAGTGGCCACATGCGTGGAGGACAGCATGGTGTGGAGGTGCGAGGTGGAGGTGCGCAAGTGCGAGAACGGGTTGCGTGGAGAACATGGTGTGGAGGACAGCGTGGCGTGGAGGACAGCGTGGTGTGGAGGGCAACATGGCTTGGAGGACAGCATGGCGTGGAGGACAGCGTGGTGTGGAGGGCAACATGGCTTGGAGGACAGCATGGCGTGGAGGACAGCGTGGTGTGGAGGGCAACATATGGCATGGAGGACAACATGACGTGAAGGACAACATGGCGTGGTGGACAACATGGCGTGGAGGATATAGCATCGAAGATAACATCAGCTGAGAAAAATATTAGTGGAGGACAACATTAGTGGAAGAAAACAAGAGTAGATAACAACACAAGTCGAGGACAACATAAGATGAGGACAACTTTAATGAATGATAAAATTAGAGGACAAAATTAGCAGAACAGAACATTAGCGAGATCACAAGGTCACAAAATCACAAGATCAGATCATGACAGGATCACAGGAGTAGCCTGCACACACTCCACGGGAGAGGGCGTGTCCTCTCTGACACTTCATCCAAGTCTCCTGCGACCCGTTGAGGGGGCAGCATCTGGAAGCAGCTGCCAGCCAGAGCATCTAAGGCACAAGATGCACCTGTCCCATGATGCATAAGGTCAAAGTGTGCTTTCGGGAGGACAATGTTCTCACCAAAGGTGAAATCGTCCAATCAACACCACTGTCCCCGTCTCACCTCCCGACATTCTAGATGACCGTGACGGTATAACACTGCTTTTCTCCAGTGATGTTCTCGGAACTGTGAAAAAATGAAACGCTTTTCTTTCAGTGATGTTCAGAAGCTGTTCTCGCCCCCTACGCGGGCAACTTTACCGCTCATTCCATCACACCGCTACATAACTGAACGGCTGTTTTCGCCATAAGTCAGAGCACATGGATCACCGACCGTGATATCAACGAAATCATAACTAGCATTAACACTGAAAATCCTGACACGACGATAACCACAGCGAAACTCATCACCAGCGACGAGAGCCAACGGGCGGCCTTGAAGATGTCCTTCACCACTGTTGCTGTGGTGGACCTCGCCACATCCAGTGGATTCCTGTGCTTCGGAATCCCGACACCACCCGGGCTCGTGAAGGAGCGAAACTTGAAGCTGAGGCAATGCTTCATGTGTTATCAGTATACTCATCCAGCAAGTGGACGCAGCTCGCGGCAAAGTGCAGTAAACGCACCCAAAACCGCAACCACACCGCCGGACTGCCCCACCGCAGACAGGAGATCAAGAAGATGATGACAAAAGCCTCCACCGCACCTCGAATGGCCAACCCATATCTGTGTCTGCATTCCCGGCGCTACCGGAGAACACACTTGGGGACAAGGAACTAAGTACAAGGGCCAAAGAATTTGGCAAGCTGGTGGACGAAGAAGTACTCACCTAGTTATACTTGGGTTGAGCTTTGGCTCTTTGGTCCCGTCTCTCAACTGTCAATCAACTGGTGTACAGATTCCTGAGCCTACTGGGCTCTATCATATCTACATTTGAAACTGTGTGTGGAGTCAGCCTCCACCACATCACTGCCTAATGCATTCCATTTGTTAACTACTCTGACCCTAAAAAAGTTCTTACAAACGTCCCTGTGTAACGATAAGATTGAAATCTCTAAAAAATAGGATGAGGGTGCCGCTGAGGATGGCAGAAGAGTTCAACGGCGTTCCACTTTGGATTTGGGAAGGAAATGAAATCCAAATTGGAACGGCCATTTAACTTTCCTGCCGTCCTCATCCTATTTCCTGAGATTTCAACCTGGGAGCCGTTGTCATACTATAACTTCATACTGTGATCTTCATTTCTTCAGGTTTTGAAAAGGCTGCTTGGTGGTCATGATGACTTGAAGGCTAGCGAATTATTGTTTTAGATTCAGCTACTGGGAACAAAAAGTTCCAAGTAGCACGGGCTATGGCGACCCCGTATAGTGAACTTACCTGGCACAGGAGCGGGGGTGGCTAGCGAGCTTGGAGGGGAGTGGCTTGGACTGGTTGGAGTCGAGTGGTTTGTCTGGTGTCTTGTGTGACTTCATTCTTGGTTCTTAATTCTTCAAGCTTGATTCGTCCTTCCTTGGACACCTGGTATCTCCACGCCCGGCCCTTGGACCCCTGGTACCTCTCCGCCCGGCCCTAAAGCACGACACGCCCAGCCGACCTCACCATCACCAGCCAAGCCTAGATAGCCACTATCAACAACACCCTGCTACCTTTACTGCTGCACATTGTGGAATATTATTGGAGCACAGCATTAGTTGAGGACAATATAGGTGGATAACATTATTAGTGGAGAACATTTATAGTGGAGGATAACATTAGTGGAGGACACCATTTAATGAAGAACATTAGTGTACGTCAGCATTAATGGAGGGAAACATAAATCGAGGGCAGCATTAGTGCAGGACACCATTAGTGGAGGACACCATTAGTGGAGGACACCATTAGTGGAGGACACCATTAATGAAGGACACCATTAGTGGAGGACACCATTAGTGGAGGACATCATTAGTGCAGGACACCATTAGTGCAGGACACCATTAGTGCAGGACACCATTAGTGCAGGACACCATTAGTGCAGGACACCATTAGTGCAGGACACCATTAGTGCAGGACACCATTAGTGGAGGACACCATTAATGAAGGACACCATTAGTGGAGGACACCATTAGTGCAGGACACCATTAGTGGAGGACACCATTAGTGCAGGACACCATTAGTGCAGGACACCATTAGTGCAGGACACCATTAGTGCAGGACACCATTAGTGCAGGACACCATTAGTGCAGGACACCATTAGTGCATGACACCATTAGTGCAGGACACCATTAGTGCAGGACACCATTAGTGCAGGACACCATTAGTGCAGGACACCATTAGTGCAGGACACCATTAATGGTTGGGCACCATTCCTTCAGTCTGCACTGTCCCAAATCCTTATCCTCATCTCTTCCAAGTGCTATACAGTCGTAATGGCTTGGCACTTTCTTCCGATAAATATCTTGCCTTGCGAAAGATATTTATACTATCAGGATAAAGATTTGGGATGGGTTGGGAGGGGGGGAAGGAATGGTGCCCAACCAACCACTTGGACGGTCAGGGATTGAACGCCGACCTGCAAGAAGCGAGACCGTCGCTCTGCCGTCCACCCCAATTCCTCATTGAGAAATTATGCCAAACTTTGCAGAATATAAGCGTTAATCTTGACCTAAAAGTCCGCTTATTATTTCCGACTCACCAGTTGCCGTAGTAGATGAACTTGGTGGGCTCCTCGCTGGCGTAGAAGGTGACCTTGGCGCCGTACTTGCCCAGCTCCGGCGTGTGCTTCTTCCTGACGAGGGGCATCCGCAGCCTCACGCCCTCAGCTGTCACCTCGCTGCCGCCCGCGTCTTGCTTATCCTCTTCCTGCATCACCTTGGCTGCTGCCTCCGTCAGGTCAACCACCTCGCTGTCGGTCAAGTTGCCCACATCCCCCATGGTGGTGGAATTGAGCAACAAGAGGGTCCCCCGCAGGCCTCCCTTGGACACAAATATTCTCAGATTGACAAAAATTCCATATAGAAAACAGACGTTGCATAAATTTATCCGAAATTGTGATACATTTTCATTATAAATATTTGGCAGGAAGATGAAACTAACCAAATGTCTCGATGATGCGTTTTTAGAGGCCCAGACATTGTTTGGCATTGTTTGCTGTCCACAGCAAAGGGAAGAGAGTCAAGCTAGAGCCCTAACTAATACAAAAGATAGTTACAAATAGTTTACACTAATTAGTTTTATTCTTTAAAGCCAAAGTACAAATCTGTAATTTTAACTAGCTAATCTATTTTACGAGTATATTCAGAGAGTTACAAGAGTATATGTCCAGAAAGCAAATTATGTGAATTTAAGTTTTTTATGAGTGGTGAATTTATCAAGATATATAGTTCATCTTATGAATGAACTTAGCACCATAAGCATAGTATTTGATGATGTTTTCCACCCCCCCCCCCCTCCCCCCACACACACACACACACAAGTGCATTCCGACCAAGTGACAAGACTAAGGAAAACTGAAGGGACATATACGGAAAGTGACAAGGAAATCTGTGAGGCACTGAATGCAAGTTTCCATGGAGTGTTCACAACCAAGCCTGAGCAGCTCCCATTGTTAGAAGAGATTACCCTAGATGAAAGACTATCAGGTGACAGCAGAGGAGGTAATGAAACAGTTGACAACACTGAATGCAACTTAAGCGGTTGGACCAGACAAAGTATCACCGTGGATAATAAAAGAGGCAGCACAGGCCCTCAGCATGCCTCTGGCAAGCATCTTTAATGAATCACTTATGTCGGGAGAATTGCCCAATTACTGGAAGAGGACAAAATGTCGTACCGATTTTCAAGAAAGGGGGTTAGGGAGGAGGCACTTAACTATAGACCTGTATCACTGACAAGCATCCCCTTCAAAATACTTGAAAGAATAATTAGACTAAGATTGGTTGCACACCTAGAGAACATTATGCTCTCTGAAGAGATAGTCAGAGAAACAGCTACTGGAGTTCAACAAGAGCAAATATAAAGTTATGGAAATGGGATTAGGTGATAGGAGACCAAAGGGACAGTACACAATGAGGGGGAACTGCCTACCTGTGACGACTCGAGAAAGAGACCTTGGGATGGACGTAACACCTAATCTAACTCCTGAGGCACATATAAATAGGATATCGACAGCAGCGTACTCTATACTGGCAAAAGTTAGAATATCATTCAGAAACCTAAGTAAGGAGGCATTAAGAGAGCACCGTACCAACACCCTACAAAAGCATAGGATAGTCTTTACGAACTCATTCATTGACTAAAAGGTTGATTGGCTATTAACAGTTTGCTAACACTAATATAACAAAAACTTCAACTAAACTATAAAACAGAAATAAACAAGAATTCTACACTATCTCTGCTAATCATTATAAAGAGGTGCAAGTAACTTCAAATATCTACGGATCACCTAGAAAAATATCAGACTTCTAAATATTACTACTACTACTTGGCTTAGTCTTAGTTATGAGGAGGTCTATCGCTGGGAATTTGTCCCTCTTGTCTGATGTCACCTCCGTCAAAAAAGAAACAATGTTTTTAGGGCAACCTTTGATTGTAATCTTTCTGCTGCCGTCCACTGTGGTTGGGGAGTGTATGTTTAAATATTACATAATATTATTATTTTATGAAATTCTGTCAATTAATAAACTCTCACTCTAATTGTTAGTGTCTCTTGAGATCACGGTGAGGCTAATTTGACATGCTATGAAGATATTTTTGTATTTACTATTGCAACATATTGTGTAACTAGCTCATCAGGACTGTAACGTGCTTAGTTAAACGAATGTTTGGGTTCAATTCTTGATCCCCTTATATGCCTCTGTAACTTTTTCCACTACTGCTCACAGGATGAGTACAGGGCGCATAACAATAAGTTAATTAAACTAACAACATTATGTATATTAACATCAACATATACAAGAGTTTACAAACTGGATGAGTATGAGGCCAATAATAATAATAATAATAATAATAATAATAATAATAATAATAATAATAGAGAAAAATCTGTAAGAGCCGTGATGAGGATTCGAACCTATGTGGTGGGTAGTCCCACGCCCCAGACAATCAGGCCACACCACTGGCACAATTAGTCCCAGTGCGTGGGACCACCCACTGCATAGATACGAATCCTCATCACGGCTCCTACGGATTTTCTCATAGAGTCATCACGTCAGTGTGAGTACTCTCTTTGTATCATAATAATAATTATAACGAGAATAGTTAATAATTATAATTATAGGTAATTATGGTGGGGGTCTAACACTGCAAACCACCTTAAGCCCATCATCACCCAGCAAAAATCTGCTATCAGAATAATAACAAACTCTGTTTTCAGACAACACTCAGCTCCCTTGTTTAAATCCCTTAACTTGCTAAATATTAACTCCCTCCACACATTCTCTTGTGTCAACTACATTTACAAAACCCTGTTCTTAAATGCAAATCCTGCTCTGAAACTCTCCCTGGACAGATGTAATAGGACCCATTATCACCACACCAGAAATAAATATCTCTTTGATATCCCCAGGGTCAAACTTAATCTGTGTAAACACTATGCAAATTAAGGGACCTAGTCTATGGAACTCACTCCCTAGTGAATTGAAAAGCTGTCAAACTTTTGCCTCAATTAAAAACAAAAACAAAAAGTACCTAATTTCATCTTCGTAGTTTCCTACACTGAGCTTTAAATTTGCTCTTTGTCTAGTGTTACCCAATCTCCCAATCTTTAAATACGTAATCCAAACAACTTTATCATTGTGTTCATTGCTGTCTTCTTTTATGTGATAGCCATATGCTGTATTGTGCCCACTAATTTTTGTTAAACTACCATTCAAACTGTCATTGCAATCAATCTGAGCTACCTATGTGCTTTAATATACCTACAATTTTCTCTCATCTCATTTTTTTTTCTTGCTATGTAACTGTTATCATTTTTATAAATTTTGCAAGTATTTACCTACTTAAAATTTTCTTAGATTAAGGACCTGCCCGAAACGCTGCGCGTACTAGTGGCTTTACAAGAATGTAATTACTATGCTATGTATCCTCACAATCCCAATGTACCTTCTTGTATATAATAAAATACAATAAATAAATAGGAACTCCACTAGGGCTATGAGGTAAATGTGAACCTACGATCCCATCATTGCCAGTCGCGTACTCTACCATACCAACCATAACAATGAGTATTTATTTTCTATAAAAAATACAGATCTGATTACAATGATTACTTTTGTATTTGTTATAAAGTCACTTCAATGTTGACATCTGATACAAGCCATGCAAGTCATGCAAGCAATGTTCGCTGACCTTGAAAAAATAATGAGGAGGATAAATACGATGGAAGACTGAGTGAAACTAATAAAAAGGGAACTGAACAAAATGAAAGTATATCCTTCATGTGGCTATCAGAGTTTGACTCCAGCAAGTGCAAATCAATGAAACTGGGTACGAGGAACAGGAGACCGGACACAATATACCACATGGAAATGGAAATCTTATTGGAATCGGACAAAGAATAAGACGTGGGGTTATTGTTATCCCTACCCTGTCACTACAAGTCTCTACCAAAGAATATGTTCAATACAAAAAAGAATATTTTCGGCTTCATACGGATGGTTGATTAATGTAAGAACTGCCTTTAGGAATCTGAACAAAGAGTCGTTCAGTTGTACATCGTTTATGGCAGACCAATTCTGAAATATGCAGCACCGGCGTGTAGTCTTTATATCGTTAAACAAAACAACGAAGCTGCAGAAATTTCATATGTATGCCTCCAGACTAGTCGCAGAGATGAGGGGGTATGAGTGCAGGTGTTGACTACAGGTGATAAATTTTACGTTACTGGAAGAGAAGAAACAGGACAGGCATGACAAAGATAGACTATTAAGCAAGGGGTAATACGCGAATAATAGATCACAGATAGAAAGTAGGTACCCAATAGAGCCACATAAACATTAGAAGTAATTTTTTTCAGTACCAGAGTAGTGAATAATTGAAATCGTTAAGACGTGAATTGGTTGAAGCAGACTCCTTTCACAGCTCTAAATGCAGATATAGCAGAACCCAGTAGGCTCTAGATCCTATTCACAAATTGATTAAGTGATGAAAGGCGGGTCCCAAGAGCTGTGGCTCATCACGCGCAAATATACACTACAACTAGGTGAGTACCCCATTCTTCTCCACACTCTACTCGCCATTCCGGTTTTCCTCAAGCTTCCACGAGCCTCCAACCCGCCCTTCTCCTGGCTTGGCTTACCTTGAGAGTGTAGTCTACGAGCGCTTCGTAGTCATCCTTCTCCTGACTGGTGTCCAGCTCGTTGCCCTGCTCCTCTTCTCTGCTACTGTCGCCCTTCTTGGCTCCCTTCTCCCGCATCATGCCCATCTCAGGGTTGAAGAAGTTTGGCCACCCGAAGTTTATCTTGTGTTCTGACACCGTCTTAGGTGCGGCCTCCACTGTCGATGTATTGTTTTTATTGAGTAGATAAAACATATAAACCAAATTGAATATATTTATTAGATAAGTCGCCAGTTTCTTGTCCTCATCGAGGTCACTTTAGATACAGTGACCCTTTGTTGCCCGAAACGCATTGCGTAATAGTGGCTTTAGGCATTGTATGTACTAGCTCTATCTATATATCAATCCATTAATGTAACATCACTTGTATGTATATACCTTACCTGAATAAACATCTGAATCTGAATCTGAATCTGAATCTGGTAAATTCTGGCAAAAGAATGATTTGTAATAGTCTCCCAACTAATTCCACGAAACTTGTTTACAGAAAATGTTAATCGTAAAGGGTAAGTGAGTAACTACATTATTTTGAACATTTATATCATAATAGTAATAATTAGTAATGGTAATGTCTTATCACAGACATAGTAACAGGATAAAAACCCATATTTGTGTATTTACAGGTTATTAGACGTTGAAATGTAAGTCTCGTCCTAATCACACACTCAGACCTTGATAAAGCACTCAGATGAGTGCAAAAGACTTGGTGTAAATTTCCTCACATAAATTTCACAAATACACAAATGTGGGCTTTTATCTTAAATAATAATAATGATGTTAATAATAATAATAATAATTCATTGTGTCGGAGGACAATGAGCCAGAGTGTATTCATACACGTTAAGCTTATATACAAATACAAAAATACAAATATTTATTCAGGTAAAGTACATACATACAGGGCGAGACACAAAAGTTGATGGATTTATAGATAGAGCTAGTACATACAATGCCTAAAGCCACTATTACGCAAAGCGATTCGGGCAGAAACGGAGGTCCAATATAGAAGTCTCCCTCCCACAAGACCGAATTACTAACCCCGCCCAGGATGCAACCCCACAACAAGCTGGCTAACTCTTGAGTACCTACTTACTGCTAGGTGAACAGAGTCATGAGGTGATAGGAAATGCGCCCAAAATGTAATGTAAACCCGGAATTCGTAACCTATTCTCCTGTTTAGATAGAAGTTCTTGTAACTATGTGCAGCATAGTACAAAGATTGCCGTTCTAAACAATTAGATAGAAAAAGTTTGTACTATTCACTTTATTGAGTAAGAAAAACTGAAGTTAAAAACATTGTGACGATTGTCATGCAATAGTCAGAATTAGTATGTTCTTAGCTTTTAGATAGTAGTATACTGACTAGTAAGGAATTCTTTTAAAATAAATTAAGCTAAAACACAAACTAAAATATTCCTAGGCCTAGTATAGAACACATATGTACTATATTAGGCCTCAGATAACGTTTTAGGCCTAGGACGGTTAGGTTAGGTTAGTTTAGGTTGTCCTTGCTACATAAGTAGAAAATAGTTTTCCGGTTTGTCCAACTCAATAGTGCCGATTTCTACTTTCGTTGTACGTCGGTATATATACTATGGTCCTCATCGTTACTACAAGTATTACCGAAACAGGAGGATGGGCTGGCACTCTAGAGTGAGAGTCCAGAACGAGGTCGACTCTACTACCGAGACTAAATATATGAAGTACTTTTACAAGCTTTACGGGAATTAGCAAATCGTGTGTTGTAAGGAAGTCCCTCGTTGATACACACAAATTACAGTAGCGTAATGCATCAAATTAAAAAATAAATGAGGGTTCGAACTCACGCTCGGGATGATCTCAGACGTCGTCTGGGATCATCCCGGGCGTGAGTTCGAACCCTCATATCACGGCCCTTGTGGATTTGTTCCCTCGTTGACTTATTACGTGACCTATAAGAAAATCAGCACTCACTTGCCTGTTTATAAAGCTCCTGGCCAGATACTATGCTGCTCAGATTAAGGTTTTACAGTCACTTAAAAAGCAAGAGGAGAATGGCTCTGCAGTACTATAATTACAGTAATTAATAAGACAATCCTATTAAAGTATAAACTGTTTAATAGAAGAGACACACACTAAATAATTAAATATAAAAATGTTAAGTTGCATTTAGTAGAACTTTAAAAATATTAAAAATTATATAAGTAAACAGATAAGGGCTGGCATGTGAGACACAACGAGGTCAATGACATCATCAACAGGAGCCTCGTCTTAGCTCAGTGCCCAGCGGAGAGAGAACCTCGCATCCTAGGGGTCCAAAACCCGGATTTCCCCGCACTTCGCCCTGATGGCATCACCATATACTCTTGGAAGGGGGGCAGAGATTTGGTGTGGGACTACACGTGTGTATCCACCCTGGCTGACACCTATGTACACTTCGGTGCTGATGAAGCAGGGGGGCGGCCAACCACAGAGAAACAGCAAAATCAAATACGGGCAATTGGAAGGTCAATACATCTTTGTTCTCATAGCGACTGAGACGCATGGCCCCTGGGGCAAGAGTGCCTTGGGATTTCTCAAGGAATTGGGCTCCAAGCTCATTGACGTCACCAGGGACCTAAGAGCTGCCAGTTTTTTGTTTCAGCGCCTCAGTGTGGCGATCCAGAGGGGAAATGCCTGCTGCATCCTCGGTTCCCGTCCTGAAGCGGGGGAGTTAAGAGATCCATAACCTTTAAGCACTCTTTGTATCAACCAATGTATATCTTGTAATCTTTAAACATATAATAAAGCAAAAAAAATCAAAGGAAGGGGGTGGTAGGAGAAAAGCACACAGAAATTGTATTGGAGGAGACCTAAACATTCCCTCTAATGCGTTATGTGTGGTTTCCTCCGAGGTTAAGGGTCCCCCTTCTTCCAGTCAGAGGTGGCACTCCCTTCCTATATAAAAAAGTAAAAAGATTAAATAACTAAAGTAAAATAAAATGCAAATGACCTTAATTTTGGGGGGATACGAATTAAGTTAATTAAGTACATGTTCGTTAAATAAATAATAGTTTCTCTATTATCAAATAGTTCGTTGGTATTAAAGTCATGTGGCCGGGTTTGCTGACCGGATGGAGCTTAACGCACTGCTCTTCTTACCAAGTTCTTTAAATATTAAGAAAAGACCCCAAGAACTTGTCCCCAAAATGAATAGAAAAATGGATGAACAGAGGCTACAGTTAAGGATTGGCACCCAGTCAATCCTCCCCGGCCAAGATACGAACCCCTGGACAAAGCGCTCACGAGATGACAGGCGAGTGTCTTACCCTCTTCGTCATGGGGGACAGTTTGTGATATGAAGGTGCCACTTTGCACCAATACTATGACAATACAAGTTATTCAGATAGGACACCCCCAAAATACTAGTTACGACTCAAAATGGAGACCATTTTTCAAAACGAAGGACTATATATCGAAATTTGCGTATATAGGCATTTGAGGTATCATTTCATATTTGTTTTTATAAAAAAAATCAGTGAAACTATTGAAAACATGTACTTTCATGCATGTGCATCTAAAAGGACAAGAAACGAATATTTTGTTAAAATTAAAAAGATATAATATTTTTTTTTACTAATCGAATGATTATTAGTAAACATCTAAAGATATTTAAGGCAGTTTAATTTTATATTTATATAGCATATACAAATATGTTCTACTTATATTACTAACATTCGCATTTTATAATTCACTTTGTAACAACTTCACATATTTTACTTTCTATAAACTGAACACAAAAATTTTAATTTTGTTCTAATAACATACATCAGAAACAGGATGGGCTCTAGAACCGACCCTTGTGGTACTGCACACGTAGCCTCTTTCCACTCTGATATCTGTGCTCTCACTGTAACCATTTGTTTCCTTTCTGAGAGGAACACTCTGACCCACCTGAGGACGCTACCTGATATACCAGTACACTCTTGTGCTGAATAGCATCGAATGCTTCCTGGCAGTCGAGGAATATGCAGTGTGTTACTCATCTAGTTGTGCTTGCAGGGGTTGAGCTTTGGCTCTTTAGTACCGCCTCTCAACCGTCAATCAACTGGTGTACAGGATCCTGAGCCTATTGGGCTCCATCATATCTACACTTGCAATTGTGTATGGAGTCTGCCTGCACCACATCACGTTCTAATGCATTCTATTTGCTAACTCCCCCGACACTGAAAAAGTTATTTCTAACGTATATGTGATCCTCGTAGCTCATATCCCTCAGCTCGAGGACTAGCTTGGTGGCACACATCTGAACCTTTTCTGTGTTGTATTTGACTAAATATGAACTCCACGCTGGAGCCATATACTGTACTCCGGTATTGGTCTAACATATGAGATACAAATTCTGAATTATTCTTTACACAAGTTTCCAAAGGTCGTTCTTATGTTTGTACTGCTTGTAAAGGATATCATCAGCGGCTTGCATCTGCCGCTGATGATATCCTCTTGATGTGGACTTCAGGGGACAGGTCTGCTGTGATATCAACTCCCAGCTCTTTCTCTCTTCCTGATTCCTGAAAGATTTAATCTCTCAACTCGTACCTTGTGTTTGGCCTCCTGCTCCCTACACCTACCTTCATCACTTTACAATTGCTCGAGTTGAACTCTAGCAGCCATTTGTTGGACCATTCCTTCCGTCTGTCGAGGTCATCTTATAGTCTCCTGCTGTCCTTCTCTGTCTTAATCCTTCTCGTAATTTTAGCATCAAATTCCAGAGAGGAGTAAGTATATACACTCTGTAAGATCATTTACGTATATCAGAAACAAGATAGGCCAGAGTACAGAACCCCTGTGGGACTCCGCTGGTGACTCCGCTCCCCCCTCACAGTAACTCTCTGCTTCCTGTTGTTTAGGTACTCCAATATCTCCTGGAGCTCCTAACCAGTTGCTTTTGCCTGTTTCTCCAACTTATGCCTACTCACATTTACCTACTTAAAATTATCTGTTAGATTATCTGTTAGATTAAGGACCTTCCCGAAACGCTGCGCGTACTAGTGGCTTTACAAGAGTGTAAATACTGTACTATGCTACGTATTCTCACAAACCCAATGTACCTTCTTATATATAAATAAATAAATAAATGCAACAGCCTCTCATGGGTAGTGCGAAAGAATGAAAGAATAAAGAAATAAAGAGAAAGTAT